TATCAAACTCTAAATACAACTTTGGAAGTGATTTGTCACTCTATTTATAGTCTGGGTAAATACCCTTCTACTATAAACATCATTGCTTGCAGTTATTATTGCAGTCAATATTGTAACTAGTATAATCTATATTATATTTAATAAAGTATACATAATTAATTTGATAGAGGGTTAAAAAAAGTAAGTTATTTATTACATGAAAGTTTATGTAATGTTATAGATGTTTATTTGATATCTCAATAAAAGTTGTAAAAAATCATTATTGAATTAAATTCTATTTAATTTATATTTTAAAAGAATCATAATATTTATTAAATTTTTATCACTTCTCCTCCTTATTTAAATGGATTATTCTATTTGATAAAAATTCAATTCGAAACATTATAATCGCCCAAACAACAAAGTAGAAATAATATGTTCTTTATAATTTCTGCTAAACATAACATCCGTTGTCACGTGATAATTGTTTTTTATTTGTGGCTATTTTTTGGAGGCGTGAGAGCTTCTTAAACAACAATAAGGTTATTCAATTTTTGTGGCTAGGTATTTCATCTGGAAGCGAGAATAAAAATAACAATGATGGACTAAACTAAAAACGGTTTACTTTAATCATAGTTGCAAAAGCAATTTCGGCAAAGGGAAAGATGTCAAATTCAGATTCCTTGCCATTCGATAAAGAGAACAGTGCAGAGAGAAAAAACGAAAGATATTATCAATATTTCTTAGGCATACCCTTAGTGATATTAATATTTCTTTGTCCAATTTTACGTAAATAATATATTTTCGGTTCACGTAGCTTTCTGTTTATTGACTCAAACTCCTTACTATGACCATTTTTCTCTTCTCTGTAACACGATTCATGCAGAATATGCCAAAATTATTTATTCACTAGAAAAATTTAACGCGGGTATAAATGTCATAGATGTCCTGTAAGTAAGAAATACGGATGTGTTTCTTTTTAATTTAGTAATTCATACTCACATACGTTGTCGATAGGTATTTGACTGTTAGCATGATCCTTCCAGGTAAGCTTCTGCCAACGATCTTTAAACTATCCTTTCCTTTTCTCTTGACGTTAATAAGAATATAGCATACATAATTATACAAGGATCATTTACATGTGAGAATTCTAATTTTAAGAATGCCTTGAGAATTGTTTCCGGAAAATTGGCAATATGTAAGAGGTAAATATAAATTCGAGATGTATTTTGTTTTCTATTCTATCGATGTTTATCTCGGCTCTTTTTCAATGGACAAAGCTTTTTCCTCATAATCTGGTTGGTTGTTGCAAGTAAGTACAAAGCTAGGTTATGTTTTGTCGACCAAGAATACATAGCCTATATCCTATTCCTTTATAATGTTCACTCTCACCTTTCCTCATTCTGTATCTTTTTCCTCTTTTCATATTAGTCCTTTATTCTATCTATACCATCAACGAACCAGTCCATGGACTAAATACAGCTAACGTGGTGTGCATATGGTCGTTCTTCGGCCTCGCCATAATCTGGAGAATTAGAGATCTCATTTCTCCTGACACTAACATAGATTCTGGTGACAGCAATGAAGATAGTATTAAAATGGCTGGCTATTATTGAGGAACAAGGTTTACTAAATATGATATTAATAGGAAGCGGATTTAAAAATAGACGGAAGAATATTATGACAGATACAAGTATTCTTGTATGCTTATAAATGAAAAAAAATCAATGTATGTTTTTTCCACTTGAACTGTTTTCTTTTTTCTCATTTTCTAGCTCAGCTTTATGCCTTTTGTCTTTATCTTTGCGCACGTATTTAATTCAAAATGAAAATTAAAAATTATTTGATCTCACCTTTTAACCTCGTCGCAAGTATGAAATACATTAAATACGTACGTACAATTAAAAGCATATGAACGAATAAAATTACATTTCTCATAAAAATGTCGAGCTGCATTAAAAGACCTAATCGCCCCGAGCTGGTTCTGCTGTACTCTCTATCCCCTCGGCCTCTCTTTCAAAATCTTTGCTCATATTCACATCCCTTTCACCCCCTAACTCTTTTGATTCATTATTTTCCCCATGAACACCGGTAGATAAAATTTCTAACTCTTCCTCGTTGTATAATAATCCAAAACAATCAGAAATAATCCAAAGCGCAACGAAAAAAATAAATAACCACATACAAATTATATTTGAAGTTCGAACTATGCATGCTATTCGGACCACTTGTGGTTCGTAATAATAGGAAGTTGGGCAGAAAAATGGTATACCTCTCATTTCATCTGACGTGTAATTTGTATAAAGAACTTTAGGTATACCGCATATGAGTAATTGTACTTTAAAATTCAAAGGAAAAAAATCTCACAACTCCAGGTAAAAATCGCTTACCAGCTGTGAATATCCAAAGCAGAAGTAAAGGACTTTCAACGAATGAAAACATAGAAAGCGCGCAGAAAAAAAATATATATTCTTTTTTTTTCTTTATTCTTTTTTTCTTTAAAAAATTCAGAACAATAAGCTATTTTAAATTTAAAAAATATTACCTTGCACATTTGTTAAATTCTTTCGACAACGATTTTAGGACCGTAACAAACCGAAACGATTCTAAATCGCATATTCCGTTTATAATCAAGACGGCTATTCTCATTTAATGTGTGTATTTAGAACTCAGTTTAATACGACTTCCGGAATTTAATGGAAAACCAAATCAGCTTACCAGGCAGCATAAGCGATACGACTAAATATCTTACATATTCAAAAAATAATTTTAGTGCTCGACCATATTATCACATGAAGGAAGAAAAGATAATACTTACAGTACATCGAGTGCATTTAAATAAAAACGCGTCTCCATCGCTTCTAAAAAGATGATTATTTTGGCGTACTCTTTAAAATACGCGGGTTTACGCAAGAAATGAGTCATTTGATTGGAGTGTCAATTTTTGCTTCTCATGCAATTTAAATAAATTGGGTTTGTTTCTATACTCACGCAAACTCGGGCATACAAAAATCAATATTAACAACGGCACACCCAAGAAGAAATTAACATGGTGTTTCTTTTTCGCATCTAGCATCATGATATAGAGTGGAACACGTTATATGATTTTGGTTTTTTTTTTTAAGAAAAAATATTTTTTTCTGACTATTTCTTTTTGAGGAACTCACGGTTTAGTGTAATACAAAAGTTCATCTTGTTGATTTTTGTTTGGGAAATGAAGATGCCCAATAAATGGTTTTGCTATCAAGAAATAAAAACAATGACAGCTCTTTTTTTTTCCCATGTATGGACGAGTAAAATTTGTCAAAAACAAGATCTAAACTCATTGAAATTTACAAAACGAAATGCATATATCAGAAACAATTAATTTCATTTTTTGTGTATTCAATTCGCGCGGCTCGCAAACACTTTAGCCACAACTCCATCACTTCTTTAAGCCACACGTTATAAATATATAAGCACATCTAGGTTCTATGATATAATTTAGTTGAAAGGTGTGGCTTGGCTTCAATTATAAAGAGGCTTTGCAGATTGGTCCTTTCACACTTTGCTGAGTTTTCTGGTGGCTTGCACCAGGTTTGTAGTATAGATTTGGTATATGGATTTGTTTCACGAACGATTACAGTATATGCTGAAAAATACGTTACCTATCAAAAGTATTCGGACTCCTATTTGTCGATTTTTTTATAATAATGTCCGCGAAATAATCATTTTTTACTGATTAGCTTTTCTAGTCTAAAATAACAAACCCGGGGTGCTTTTTATATAGTATTTTGCAATAATATACAGTAACTATATTATAAAGCAAAATAAATTAACGTAAATTATAATTATTTAAATAATAAAATTATTTTATAAGGCGATTTATAAAAGTTCAAGTTTATCTGCTATATACTGTATATTTTTACTTTATAAAAAAAAAAAAAGAAAAAATTTTTGATAATTTTTATTCACAAGAAATTATACTTAAAAAACAAGAAAAATATTATTTATATTAATATATTGTATAATCTTGTAGTCAAATTTATATTTGATCAGTGCATCAATATGAAATTGGTTTAAAAAATAATTTTCAAGAAAAAAATCAAGAAGTAATTGATATTTAATAAAAAAATATTCAAGAAAAAATTTACTTGAAATTTTTTTAAACAGTATTATATAAAATTTCATAAAAAATATAGTTAGCTCAAAACCTTAGTTTATTAATAATAAAAAAACAATTCCTTTAATTCTAGTATCAAGAAAAGATATTAAATTTTTTAAAAATCAATTTTATATATCTGATAAAAAAAAAATTCTTTTTTACAGATCTTAAAATTCTTAAAAATTTTCTTTTTTAGATAATTTTTTTCAAGAAACAAAAAAGCAAACAAAGAATATGATCACTTATAAAACCCTTTGTAGCTTTAAAACTAGTACAAAACCCAATTATAATAAGAACCTTTTGACTAAAGGTAATGTAAAATATCTTTAAAAAAATCAATATGAACAATAAAATGATAACAACTTCAAACAAGAAAAAAGAACCTGAAAAATTAATATAAAATAATCAGACTCTCATACAAATAAACAAACAATTTAGCAACCTATAATCAATCATCAAAGCTTTCAAAACTACATTAGAAAGAAGGCAACAATATCAAAATAGCATACATGGAGTGATTAGATGAAAAAAATCATTTCTCTTGAAAATAAATTGCAGTTTAAGAAAATATATAGAGAAGAAACATTAGACACTCAACAACATATCCATACATCAGCAAGAATTGATAACTCCAATATAGAAATATATATCAAAGAAAAAAAGAATCAAACTGAAATCCAAACAATGAAGAAACTAAAGAAACATAACAAGTTCAGGAAAATTAAAATAAAGATAAATCAAGATCTAAATCACTATTCAACAGAACAATAAAATATAGAAAGGAAAGATTTAAAGCAAAAATTGCAATAATAATATTTCTGATACAACTACTAGTTAAAAAATCACATACTTAATTAAAGCATTAGAAAATTCAAGGAGTTTTTTTAATATTGCAAAGAAAAAAAAAGAAAATATTGATCACATTACTATTTTATTTGAGGAAAAAGAAAAAGCTATATAAAAAAACACTTAAAAGATATAGCGAAGTCCAAAATATCAATATTTATAAAATAAAATCAAAATCAGAATAAAAGTTTATCTCAAGTACTGTAATATGAAAATTAATTTAGAAGAAATATGAATAATATGACTTTGAATAAAAATAACAAAAGCAAAGAGAAGCTGACAAATTAAGAAATAAATAAGATTTTAATTGAATGAAATAAATATTCAATTCGACTCTTAAGTATAAATAGAATATTCTTAAGTTTGATAGCCAAGATACTCAATAGTATAAAAATCAAGACCTACTATGTATCAAGAAATCTTTATACCTTAAAAAAATAAAACTTTACAACAATATACTTTATAATAAAAGAAGCTATAATAAAAGCTTATAAGCAATACATTTTCTTATCAGAATTAAGACTATTCTAAAGTGCAAAGGTCATATTGAAAAAAATTACAATAAGTTCTAAATCTAAACCTAAAAAGTTCAGTAATTTACTGAAATATACAAATGTAAAGACAAATATCAAACTTATATTAAATTTATCTTTTGATAATAAATTTATAAGCTCTATTGCAATCTCAAAATATAAATTAACAATCAAATAAAAAAGAAAGTACTAAGATTAGAATAATAATAATATTTAACAAAAATATTATAAAATCTTGAACTATTTAACAATAAAAAGTAATAAAAAACTATTAGAAAATCTTGGAAATTTATTAAAGAGCTAAAACAAAAGGTAACTCAATAACCCAGAGCCAATAAATGAATATAACCTATTTAAATTCATATTGATGAATCTAGAGAAATTGAATAGAAGAATTGATAAGCTTAAAAGCAAATCATGATCTAATTAACAAAAAAAAAGAGAAGTAGAATAGTCAAACTGCTTTTAAAAAATAGTATTCCAGTTGATCAAAATAAAATAAAGTAAAAAGAGTCCAGTTCTCTTTTAGTAAAGACTTATAACAAGGACAAAAAACAAATAATAGATCTAGATAAGTTAGTAGAACAATATAGTAATCTAAATATTAAAACACTTTATAAAATAAGTATATAATATTGTATTTCTGAATAGTAAAAAAAAATAAATAAATAAATAAACAAAAAATAAAAAGGAGAATAAAGAAGAAGTTTAAAAAAAAGTAGTAAAAATAGATATATATAATATCAGAGATGCTACAGACAAAACAAATCAACAAAACCTTATTGAAGAGATACAAGAATAAAGAATATAAATAATAGTAATATATGAAATTAAACTAATCCAGATCAATGCAAAATAGGCTTTAATTAATTAAAAAGCTTATAAACACTTTTATAATATTAATAAAGATACACTATTCAGAATAGGAGTCAATCTTTTAATTAAAAAGATTTGAAAAGGAAGATAGCATAAATAAAAGAAAAAAAAGATTATATAATAGTAGTAAACTACCTTATAAAAAAGAAAAAGATTTGTGTTATACAGATTTATATTCTATTAGATAAACAATGATATAGAAAAGTACAAGAAAGATTAATTAGTCTTATCAAAAAGAAATATAGACAAAATTTTTATATTATAGTAATGGTTGATTTTAATGTTACCTGTAATCTATTTGAAAATAGGATATCATCCTTCAAGATTAAATTCAGATCTTTTTAATATTCTGAAATTTTGTTGTTCAACTTTTTGAATAATTGAAACTTTTTAGATACTCAAGTAATATAAAAAGGCAAGAATAAAATTCCAATATAATAGAATATAACAAGCAGTAATAGAATCGACTATATTTGAATATTACAAGTAATAATGGATCCTTAAAGTATTTAGCATATAAAATTTTACAAATCATCTATGTTTTTTTTTGAGGAACAAAATTTATAACTCTTTATTTTAATAGGGGCAAAAGTTAGAAAATGCTATAAATAAATAATTTAAATAATGGAAAACAATTGTAGGTAGTTTTTTAATAGTTATTAATTTAAAAATTTTAATATTTTCTAGTAAGGGATATTCAATTTTTGTTCTTGTCTCCACTTTTAGGAACCCATCTTTAATTATAGGTCTAATAAGATATCTATTATTCTAGTTTATAATTAAGAAGTACAAGAAGTTATAGAAAGTAATTATACTATATTAATAATTATATAATTATTTTGCAAGACAAGAATCTCTTTATAAGAAGTCTGACTATAAA